ATCGTAACAGTATCCAGAGATCACAACATCCTATCAACATCTGCAACGTAACACTAAGCACTTTGCGCCCGCCACCATACAATGATTCTGAGTTTGTTTTATTCCAGCATTGACAATAAGTGTAATTCCCACCCACCCTACTTCAAGATTGCTTGTCTCTCTCCCCATCCTCACCACCACCACCAAAATGTGTTCTATCCCTACTTACAAGAATGAAGTTGCCTTCTTTGCTGACACAAACCAGATATATAAACCACAGGAATGCCCAATTTAAAGACCGTATCATTTTTATTCCTGCCCTACACATTTTATCTTAGCTCATTCCTGAACATGTTCCAAACTTTTAAGTACAGTGGTACCTCTGGATACGAACGGGATCCGTTCCGGAGCCCCATTCGCATCTAGAAGCAAATATAACTAGCGACGGCACGTCTGCGCACGCATGCGTCGCTTTTCGCTGCTTCTGCGCATGCGCGTGACGTCATTTTGAGCATCTGCGCATGTGCAAGCAACGAAACCTGGAAGTAACACGCTCCATTACTTCCAGGTTGCCGCGGAGCGCAACTTGAACGCGCTCAACCTGAAGCGCATTCAACCCGAGGTATGACTGTATTCAGACTGCTTCTGTGGCTTTTCTTTTTAAATTAAGCAAGGGTACTATATATGCACAGGCAGGGGGAGGAATTAATCTCTAATCCAAGCCACTTTAATGCGAGATCATTTTTTATTCCCTGCAGTAATATTAATATGGTAGCTCCACTGTGTACACCAGGGGTAGTCAACCTTTTTATACCTACCACCCAATAATGCATCTTTCTTGATGGTAAATTTCCTTACCACCCACCAGTGCCCGATGGAAGGAGGATTCAGCTTGTGCCGTAGAACCCTCTACCGCCCACCTAGAATCCTGAAACTCCCACTAGTGGGAAGTAGGGACCAGGTTGACAACCCCTGGTATACACGGACACCCCACTTCAGTAAGCACTTGTGGGCACTGGAATTCAAGCGCACCTATGTGTGCCTATTCATTCATTACATTTATATCCCGCCTTTTCTCCAGGAAGCTCAAGGCAGTATACGAGATTCCCCCCTCCCCATTTTTCTCCTTGCAACAACCCTGTGAGCTAGGTTAGATTGAGAGACTGTGGCTTGCCTTAGTCACCCAGTGAGCTCCAAGACTGAGCAGGGATTTATGCCTTGGTCTTCCATATCCTAGTCCAGCCCTCTGACAACTGCACCACACCTTGTTAACTTCCGTAGATGGGATAGCTTCATTCATACTCTTCTGTTTAAATGAAAGGGAAAATACACACACAGGAAGGAGCTCTGTTAATGCACAAAGGATCAAGACCATGGGCTCTAATGTGTACCATATCTGTTGGACAACAGAGCTGCTCCAGTCTATTCTATGCTAACAGAGTTCTCTGCGCATGTATGAGTAAAGATATTCCCCTGATATTGTTAGTGAGAAATGTTTTTTGATGTATTAGAATAGGCACTTTAATCAAAATCCTCCATGGAGCTCTCTACTGCTGCCAATGTTAAAAATATGGAGACAATGTTAAAAATATGGAGACTATACAGGTTTGGGTTTTTTGTTGTTGTTTTTTGCCTAAAATTACCGTATTTTTTGCTCTATAAGACTCACTTTTTCCCTCCTAAAAAGTAAGGGGAAATGTGTGTGCGTCTTATGGAGCGAATGCAGGATGCACAGCTATCCCAGGAGCCAGAACAGCAAGAGGGATTGCTGCTTTCACTGCACAGTGATCCCTCTTGCTGTTCTGGCTTCTGAGATTCAGAATATTTTTTTTTCTTGTTTTCCTCCTCCAAAAACTAGGTGCGTCTTGTGGTCTGGTGCGTCTTATAGAGCGAAAAATACGGTATATAGGCATTTAGGATGACTTGGAACTAGTCTTTAGGACCTCACTAATGTGTCTGCAGTCCTATGAACAGTTCCACTCTTATATATTGGAATGCTACACGCTTCTCAGACATTTGTAAGGAGTTAATGGCCTGCAGCCCAAAGCCCTCACTGTCTTTGTTTCTTAAATGTTTCCAGTGTAACAGTCTTTCCTTTGAAACTTAATTTCCCACAATATACACAACAGTTCCCAACTTTATGTTAGCATGAGTTCAAGCTCCTACCTATACTAAAATTCTACTCATCGATCCCTCTCCCTTGTACCAATCTGGCAACACTCTTTATTTTCATTATTATCAAAATATTATTATTATTATTTTCATTCATTTTAAAAATCAACATTATTTACACATTTCTAGAAAATGCCAAAGGCTTTTTAATGGTTAGCAGTTACAGCTGATCTGCATGTTCTGATACTGTTTGTATAGTTTAAGCACGAATGTTAAAGTTAAGTAGGTTTTATTTCAAGCACAATGTTTCTAATCTAAGTTATCAAATGAATATTTATCTGACTACACAGTCCATGTTATATTTGGTTTGCCTCTGATTAATGATAACTTATAGTTTATGTATTTGGTTGCAAGTAAATCAAGCATGCCTTCATGATTCGTAAAGGGGGGGAAGGTTTGCAGTATCATTTCTGTCTGGAAGTAAACGGAAGGCAGGCAGCTATAGGACAAACTTAATAGCCACTAGCAGTGTGGTTGTTGTTTGCTCAAATTATTGAAGATCTCCCAAAAGGAAATTTGTTGGCATATAAAAAAATCCAAGTGTAAATTACACAACTGCCTTGACCTTGAATTGGGCCCGCTCACGAACTATTTCAATATTTCCACTTAGACAATGGAACTGCCCGTCCTGCTCCTCTACCTACATGTCTCCCATGTTCTTCCCAAATTTGCTCCAGAGGATTGGGGAAATACCAAGGACAGATGTGGGGGTGAGATGGGGAGAGGAGAAGAGAAGAGAAGAGAAGAAAGGGAAATTCCATTAAACAACCAAAATCCTTGCACTAGTGGTAGGAAGCACTCAATTGGCTACTGCCCAATATATTTTAAAAGAATAATAAAATGACTTGTCACTGTGGACATATTTGGCCAGCTGCCCAGTGAATAGAAAAGGTATTTAAAATGGGGGGGGGGGAATAAACAATCCTGTTTGCTCCAATGGTTCCCAGCATGCCCACGCCAACTCAGGTGCTAAGATGGGGCCTCTTTGCTCCAGCCCCCCATCATCTGCCACTTTCTGATTCTACTGAGGCCAATGACGATGGTAGAACTTATATTCAGGTACTCTGAAGCCCTATGCCAGGGGTCAGCAAACTTTTTCAGCAGGGGGCCAGTCCACTGTCCCTCAGACCTTGTGGGGAGCCGGACTATATTTTGAAGAAAAAATGAACGAATTCCTATGCCCCACAAATAACCCAGAGATGCATTTTGAATAAAAGCACAAATGCATTTTGAATAAAAGCACCCATGTAAAGACATGCTGATTCCTGGACCGTAGGCAGGCTGGATTTATAAGGGGATTGGGCCGGATCTGGGCCCCGGGCCTTAGCATGCCTACCCATGCCCTATGCATATGTTACTCATGTGGAGGGCAACATTGTAGTCAATACCTTTAGTCCCTCTCCTAAAATCACATCTCTTCTTTCAGCCACTCTGCATTGCATGTGGTTTTTTGTGAAGCAACTCCAAATGCATGAGCTCCTGCACATGCATAAGGGCTTCACGTGATCAAGACACCCCTCCCACTAACTACTAGTCATGATGGCTATATTATGGCCAGTATCAGAGGCAGGATGTCTCTGAATACCAGTTGCTGGGGAATCACAAGAGGGTAGTGTTGTTGCACTCATGCCCTCCTTTACGAGCTTTTCATGGGCATCCGATAGGCCAGAATACTAGTCTGTTCTGATCCAGGACACTTCTTACACTCTTATTGTTTCTGTGAATTTAGTTTTCATTAGTTTTCATGTAGAGAGTTTTAATTCTAAACACGTTCTTACTGAAAATAAACCAGCATGTTTGGGTTTAGCTAGCCTACAGCTGAATTGATTTACTCCCGGGAGAGTAATTCCAGATAGAAATGATACACTCTTGCTCATGGAAAGATTATTCTGAATAGTTTTGTCATTTTCCAAGCCTATCCTGTCCTGCCTAAATGGACTAACTAGTCCAGTTCAACTCCACAGTTGATCCAAGGCAGTAAACTGGTAAAGGCCACGTACAACATCCTTCTTGCTGCATTGGAGCTCTAATTGTCCTTCCATTACCACAATTACATATGGATCAATGGAGATCTCAAAGCCACAAATAAATTTGCATGAAATAAGGCACTTGTTAATCTTTAAAGTGTTCCTATGGTGGTTAATTGTTTTTCAGAAAATCCAAGGAACACAGGATTATGTGTGTTAAGAGAATCTTCATGCATCCCACCCATTTTTCTGCTGAATGTTTCAATCTTACTTATCTTCCTAAACAAGTTTTCATTTGTGAGATATGGAATGGTGTGGGTGTGGGTGCTTGTTGAGAGATGTTGTTAAACCTTAATCATGAACTTTGTTCTTCAAACAGGGACCAGATGGCTTACCAATGCCTGGCTGTTGGCAAAAGGTGAGGTGCTGAAAATCATCTTGTATGTCCACTTTTTATTAGGCAAATTAAGTTTGGACAATCAAGGGGAATGGCAGAATATTATCAAAATGCTTAGACTGTAGAAAGGAAGATTTTGCCAATTTCCTCTAGACTTTCACACTGTTCTTGGGGGAAACAGCGGGAAGGGGGAGTCAGCCCAAACTGTCCCATTTCCCACTCATGGGAGATCAGAGACAGCTCTTCATTCAGCCCATTACTTAGTTGAAGCAGACATTTGAGCTCATTACTAACCTTGCCAAAATGTTGTTTCTTTGTTTTTTGCAGTGATGAATCTAACTTTGCAAGCATGAAGTTGTGTATATAACACTCCGCTCTTGTATTTATAGTTGAAAATGGAACCATTGATTTTACAAGTCTGAAATATGTTTACATGTAGCTGCTTCTACTTGTTTGCAGTAGTCCATGTGTACCTCTATTCTTCACATACATCTGCAATTCAACAAAATATAAACTGCAACAAACTTGCAAAATCAAGTATTACTCTCTATACAGAGTTAATCTTTACAGAGTGATCACTCATAGACATTTGAGCTGTTTCTGCAGTTTTCCAGTTTTTTCTTTGTTTGTCTTCTTTTGGGCCTGCATGGACAACAAGTGCCATGAACTAGTTTACATGAAACTGTGACCAAATATGAGCTCAGTGCTATGAAACGTACTGTACCCGATTGCCATTGGAATACAGTGACTTGGTTTCCATGTTCACCTTCATCAATCTTATCACTGGTTCATAGCTCACATATTTGCTTGTGCTGACTAAAATCAGAAGCATGACTCGTGTGCCAAAACAGCTTGTTGTGTGATCATCCCCGTGAGCTACAATGGTTGCTTGCTGTGACTTTTCATTCAGACACCTGAATTGTTCTTTTTTGTCATCTCAAGGGAGTCACACCATGGCTTATTGCAAAAAAATGATAAGAGGAGAAAATTAAGACAATGGTCTTGAATTTGGAGGGAGCTGCAGTTCCTTCCAGCGGTGGATGGCTTTCAGTCTTCTGGGTTATGAAGCCACCTTTGTCAAAAGGGTGAAACCTCTTCATCAGCCTCTGTTTGCTTGCACTCCTCGCAGTCACAAGCCATTCAGATTGGGTGGATTTCAACACTAGTCCCTGTTGACTATTTAACCAAGGAGGAAAGAAGCATGAAGATCTTGCTTTGCGAGTAGGTTGATGAAGCTGCAGAGAGATACCAAAAGGATCATTTGATGATAGGTCTCAGTATCGACATGACCATTTTCAAGGATTGGTGCAGTATTTGTTTCACATACTGCATTTTGAGATTTTTGAAGGCAAGGATTCTTGACAAAAGATACCATGAAATGCCTAAAGCAATGGAACAGACATGACTGTATATGGCTCGCCATTTGAATTTTAGAAGTTCCTGATGAAATATCAAATGCTTATAGGATTTTGGGAAAATATATTTTATTTTATTTGTGCTTCAGTTCGCTAACATGCAGCAGATACATGCTTCCTGAAATTTAAGTTCTGAAAAATGCACTTGTGTTCAACTTCTTTCAGTGTTGTCTTTTTTTGGATCTATAAGGTCTTTACTGCTGCAAAGCAGGGATTTGTTTCTTTTTAATTCATATGAACACATTTATTCATATACCTTTTTTTCCTTCTACAGTTGTCCTGTTTTGGGGTTCTGTAGCCCAAAGAGTATGCAATAGGAAAAGAATATTACATGACAGTAACAGCAACATTTTTATCTCAAATGTATAATGAATTTCATCTGAGTTTTAGACTGCAATCCTGTGCATTCTTCTCTGGGACAAAAACCCATTGAATTCAGTGGAACTTCTGAATGTGTTCCGATTGTGTTGCATATTGCTTAAAAAACCAGCTTTCATTTCTCTGTTTTGAACACATCTGCTTAACTTTCAAATCTTTAGACTTGTATTCATAAAGTACATTTGTAGACACCCCGAGAAACTAATTTATGTTGCATTTTTTACTTTGCTTTAAAAAAAAAATCATTGCCAGTGTTGAAATGGTGATTAAACTTCTATGTACATTCATAAAAAAGTCTGACCAAATAAGAGATTTCATACATGTGTGAAATAATGTGAGGAAGACACAGTCATGTGTTTCTGGAGACAAGCATCAGTTGCTCCAGAAATGTCATGTGCATCACCTCATAATGATTCCATTTCCAAATAATGGCTACTTTGGACATCACACTAAACCATTGTTTAGCATGATGATAATATGTTGCAGCAAGCCTTGGGCTCATGCACCTCCTCTGGTACATGTGCAAGGAGAACAAATGCTTACATTTTCATTTTAGATGAACTGCAGTATAGTATGCTACCCTATCCCCAAAGTATGGCTAATCTTAAGTGCATATTTAAGATTAACCACAGTTTGTTTAGGACTTTGAGCATCAATACAAGCTGCAGTTAATCTGAAATTGGAGTGCACACTTCAGAACTCCTCCTCACTACTGTGCCAGGGGGCAGAGTGGAGTGCCCAAACCCAAAGCTCACCAAAGATAATTGTCATCACAATAAACTATCATGTCTGAACCATACCATTAGCTTAGTACAGTACTGCCTTCTGCCCATGAATCAATAGTATCTCCAGAACTCATTTGTACTTTTACTTTGGATTTCATTTTCATAATGTTTCATTTTCATTTCAGATTTCATTTTCAGAATGTCAAAACCATTTAATGAAAAGAATATCCCCCCCCCCTTCAAAACAACTTCCTTTCCCACGCACCCCAAAGAGCTGGGGAAATTTCTGTTCAACAATAACTGCTTTAATGCTGAAGCTTTTGTCTTAATAGTTCTAACAAATATTTTGCCAAAGTTTCAGTGATGGCCTCTGAGCAGCAAGAGAAAAGAAAGATCAAGTGCTCAGGGAACTCAGAAAAAGGATGCTGTCTTTGCTAACTGCTTTATTTGTTGTTGCGATTCTGTTTTAATTTTTATTGTAGGCTGCCCTGTGTGTGTAGAAAGACAGGATTTAAGCATTTTAAATAAATGAGATAAGTTATATTGATCTGCATGTGTGTGCATACAGGTGTACACACACACTAACATTAATGCACACATGCAAATAAAACATATCTTTGAACAATTTATCCACAATGCAAGAAGTTTGTTATTGCATCCCAAGACATTTAATGCATAATTTTAAATATGTTCTGATGTCAATATTCATAACCAATCTCATTATGTAGAAATGGAGCCTGTCAACTCCCCGTGTACATTCCAATGTACATTTTTATTAGTTTGTATTTCAGATTATTAAGGCACAAGTGTCTCCATTCATTCCTCTTGTGATTTAAAACAAGAGGGTTATGAGCCTTCCTTGTCTGACTACAGAAGGTTCCCTACAGGACTAAACAGAGCCATTTCCCCACCCTAGCACTCATGCAATGCACAGATGCACACAGAGGCAATGTGTCAAAAATGAAGAATGTGTGAGCTCTTCTCATGTTCCCATTTAACTCTTCCTTTAGACTTGGTCAAATTATGCCAGATCTGCTCAAGAAATGTGAACAGGTGGAGTGGGGAGGCTGGATCAGATGTAAGGGCTACACGCAAACCTGTAGCACATCCTTTAGTGTCCCAACATGTGGCTTGCAAGCAAACTTGCCAAGGGTCACAAAATGGAGCTCCATTGACCCCTATGTCGAACCCTTAACACACATTTTCAATCCACTTTAAATGAGCTAACAATGGGGTATCAACCACTAATTTTAGAGTGAAATTAAGTTCATGAATGGTGTCTTTGTAAATTAATAAATTTGCATGCCAGTCTACTTTGCTCTAGCTGCCAACCGCCAATTGGCATACAGATCAATGTAACATGTGATTTTATATAATCACAGAAACAGCTGCCAGCAATTCCCATTGTGGTCACCAGTCATTTTGATATATTTAGCAACAGACAGGTATGTACTGTGTGAACTTCAGGAGAAGGGAACCAGTGGTCCTCCAGCTGTTGTTGGACTACAACTCCTATTTACAGCTAACCATTGGCCATGACAGCTGCGGCTGATGGGACGCGAGTCCGACAAGACCTGGAGAGCTACTGGTTCCGTACGCCTGCCTGAGTTGGTTTTCATTTTCTTTCTTTCCCTCATTTATTGCTCCATGAGTTTGGCATACATCTGCTTAGAACTGGCCATTCAGTCATCTTAATTCTTGCCCATTGTAATTAAAATGCTTTTGCTTGTTAGCAAGAGCCGATTCCATTTTGAAAACGCCATCCTAGTAGAACTACATTGTGATCTGATAAGTCAGTTGGTGAGATAGCAAAATAGTGTCTGATTTTTAAAAATATCTGTTGCCTGATGAAAGTGCAAATGTGCTCATTCTAGCCATACAATCACTTTTGGAAGACATGCAGTGCCTTTTGTGTTGATCTTTGACAATTATTTTGGTGCTATTTTTTCTTCTTATTGTGTGTCTCTAGTGTAGCTGTTTATGTTTTGCTGCCGCAGGTTTCCTTTGCTTAAAATCTGCAGGTTTGTTGGCGGTGTGATCTTTTTTATTTCAGTTCAAACATTGGACACAGCTTGAGTTTACTTAAGTTCTGCAACTCCAACTTCTTGTTTCTGTGATTATTTTTCTTTTGCTGTTCCCCACCCCACCCCTCAACACACACCTCCCTGCAATATTTATTTGGTGTTCGTCCTCATGGGTATCTTTTACTCAACAAAGAAACAGCATGCCTGAAACCAACATGTTTCAGATTAATCTTTCCTTTAGCTCCATAAATGGAGAAGCTGCTTTCCTTTAATTTCCATAAACTGAGGAATTGTATCTTCCAGGGTGCTTACAGAACAGATAATTGCAAGGGATGATGTAGGACCACAGTTCATAATGAAGCATTCATTTCTCTAATCTGTTTGTAATTTTAGAATAACAGAGAGATGTTATAGAGAGGTTGAGTGATGTCATGTTCCATATTGTGTCTATAAGAGGCTTAGATACAATCAAACTCATCCAGAGGTTTCAACTGTGTGCCCAAAGATCTCCCAACTACTTTCCTATGCTGTTCATTTAAATGGAGGGTGAATTCATGTTTTCACAAGTTGTGTATGCAGACTTTCCACTGAAGTTAATGATCATGAAGGAGCTCCATGTGTGCCTCAAAGCACCCAGGGCTCTTGAAGTAGAGTTGTTGTATTTCTTCTCACTGTCAAATGACTTTTCTTTATGTTTGCCTATGTATCATGCTATAAAGACTTGAAATGCATTGTTCTTCATTGTCAGTATTATGTACAGGCTTGAAAGTATTTTAGTTTTATATGGGACTGGAAAGATATCTATTAGGCTTTGCTGTTGCGTTACTGTTTAATTTTGTTGTTTCTGGGTTGTTGCTTTCAATTAAGGGAACCCAGAGGTGGAATTTTGACTTTTGGTGCAATAAAAATGCCCCAAAATGTTAATGCTGGCTAAGAACAGGCAAGAGGCGATCCAGTAACATTCTTGTAGGTTCTGAATTTATTCACCGTACAGAACTGCTGGATGCAACTCTGGTTTACATAGGGCATTGTTAACTATGAGAATACATGGTTGGATTTATTTTGTATAATGGAATTGTTCTGTGTAATTATTTTTTTAAGAGTAAAAGCTACAAGAATGGGTGCACTCTTCTACAAGAGAATGAGGTTTTTGATGACATGCGTTTTCTTTGCAAGCTTTCTAAGCTCTGTTACTTGACTGTCATACAGTTATATCTGTATCTTTTTGTTTTACCTAAAAAGAGACTTTTCCTTTTCACACCAAAAACTACATTGAAATAAATGAGTAGAATAAAAACACAAGTTGTGTCAACATGGTCTCCAGGAGCTTTGAACAATGAGACCTAAAGCTGTTAAGAGAAACAACTTTCTTTTTTTTTCTTGTGTGGCATCTCAATATCAGTCTGAATGGTCCAGTGCTATGAAATATACAATTCATTTCTGAAACTGCCCGATGATTGGCTAAACACTGCCAGGGTGTGTGTGTCACATTGATTTCTGATCATTGCTGTCTGACCATGTGACAAGGTCACCAAAACAGCAAAATGGATGCTAAAAAGGATGAGGTTTCTGTAATATTGGGAGTTTGTTTGCATTTTTTAAAAATATTGGTATTTGAAATGCATCCTGTTTACTATGCTGCTCGGAAATAGAATTGTCTTTCCTTGGATTATCAGGGGGCCTTATTCCAGCAGGGACCTTCAGTGTTTACCTTTAAACCTTTTTGCTGAAAATCCATCTAAATCTACTCAGTCACACTTGGTACTGCTTTGAGGTAATTTGGAAGCATTTGATTGGGAGAGGGGTTTATTTTAAATGTTGTTAATGTTGGCCACAATCCTTTGTCCAGCTCTCCAGGGCATTTCCAATAAAATGAAAGGGTGCTACACAATAATACTGTTGCATGCAATCCCAATCTCCAAGTGTTGTGAGATTCCAGGGGTTCCAAGCACGTATTACCCAGGGTTTGTGTTTCTTTTTGGAATGAGACACAGCAGATATATACAGCCTGAGCCTACGATGGAGGGTTTCCCAGCATTAACACCCCAAGAGGGTCTCACAGAGCTGTTTTCCTTTGTTCCCCTGAATGGCTAGTCACCAGGAGGCTAGCCTTGCTTGTCCAATAATTAGAACCCTTGATTAAATATTAACACTTGCTCAATCCAGGGATTTAGCGGGGTCTGGCATACAGCTTAACTCCCCATACTCAGAACAATACTATCAAAGCCTTATGCAACTTTCATATTGGAGCTTGTGCAGGAGAGCTTCCCAATGGATTTTGCCCATTCATTGTGGATATTTTTCTGTTGTACATGTTTGGGAAGTGTAGTATAATGCAACCTGGTAACAATTTTTAAAGGTGTATGTATCTGATCATTTTTCTTTTTGGAAAATATTATATTTTTAATTTGTGTTTTTTACTTTTTTTAATTGACCTGTATGTGCAGTTATTTTGATATTTCATAGCAGTCTTTCTTAAAAGAAGATGATGAGATTTGGAGTGAATTGTCACTGTGGGAAACATTACATGAGTCATTCTCATATCACATATTCTGAGTGTCATTTCACTGTAAAACTATGGCTGTGTAAATAATTTCAAGGCTTAAATCATCACTTTTGATTTGTTATACATTTTTACTTAAGTGTGGCTTCTGGTTCAGACATAATTCAAGGCTGAGCCAAATGAAACAGTATGAATTGTTTCTTTTCTTTGTCAAATTTTCCTGGTTTCTCCTGTTCTTTACAGTTTTAAAATTGTTCCTGTTTCTTTGAGTTTTGTATTTGGTTTTTGTTCCTAGCTTGTGAGAAGTTGATCTTCAGAATTATTTTTACACTATTTATGACTTATTTTCATAATGTAAAAAGTGTGTAATTATTAAACTCTTAATCTTACTATTGAGGGTGTTTTGTGTTTTCTCTTTGCTCTCCCTGAGTTGTAAAAACAAGCTTGCCGTTTCAAAAAAGGTACCCTTTACACAGTGCAGTTTCTGTGATAGTGTCTTTCTAAATGATCAACTATTTAAAATTTTAATCTGAAGAAATAGTTGGCTTAAATACCAATATTTTATTCCAGGTGGTCTTGAACATACTGGCCAGTGTTTGCCTCTGCCTAGCACATGAAATTTCAAAAACACTAAAACCTTCCATTTAAGAGTGTTCTTACAAATTTACTCATTCACCAAACAGCTTGGAAACTGCAAGAACTCAATTCATTCCTGCTGCCTGCTTCTTAACAGGTTAACTGAGCCACAAAAATCCTTGCCTTAGTATCCCATGACTGCTAAATTTGCTCAGGAAAATGCTCTAAAATCGCTGGAACTTGGGTGAGGGCCTCTGTCAGGGGCACCGACTTGCCCCTCACCTTGAGGGGACCCAGCATCACACGACGCATCCTGCCCCCACCCAGTGGCAGCAGGGGATGGGGAACCCAGAAGGCGATCTTCACCCTCCATGCACCCACCCCTCCTGGCTTGGCCCCCTCCCCACAAATGTTGAGGGGACCAAAGCCCCTTCTGCCCCCTATAGTTGGTGCCCCAGCCTCTGTCAGAAAGGTTTCAAAACCGTTTCTCAAACAACAACCTCCAAAGGCTTTTTGCTTTCTTGTACTTTTTGGACCATGTTGCATTCTAAAACTTTCATCTTTCGATCAGAGACTTGGAAGAACAACTAGCATTCAACCAGCATGCTGCTGCCTGTTGTTCTGCTCTTTTAAATAGCTCTTCTCCACAGGGTACTTCACATATCGGTGTGTACAAAAACCACTCGTGCTTCACGGCATCTTGCATTTAATCTAAGTTCTGTAAATTTACAATGTTCTGTGATAGAGATTCCGCCTGAAAAAAACTTTTATATTTTATTTTACTCAATACCCCTCATAGACTGCCATCTAGCGGTTCAGTCATACAAACACTTTTCAAAACTCAAACAGATATGTTATTTTGATTTTTCCTACTGCTGACCCAATGTGCCTTTCCTATTAAAAGGGAAAGGGGGAAAAATAAAGCCATAGTTATATGTAACATAACCTTTTCAGATTCCACAGCTCTGAAAGGTCTGTTCATCTTGAAATTCTGCTCTTATAATTCCATAGCACAGCATTTTCTGCATCCTAAAAGCCATGCTTATGGACACACATATGTGGAAGGAAATTGCTTTCAAACTATCTAGCCAATATAGATTTTTAAATGTGTAACAATAGATTCTGGAAAAAAGGAAATGAAAAATTCATTTAGTGCTATCCAGTGCTTTTTTTCTGGGGGTACGCAGGAGTACACATACCCCTAAACATTTTGTGAATCTTTGTACTTTTGTCCATTTACCTCATTTATTTCCCCCAATTTGAACTATAAAATGGTGATTTTCTTGAGTCAAAATGAGAGTACCCTTAAATATTTTTTTAGAAAGAAAAAAAAGCACTGGTGTTGTCTATATCCTTCCACTCTGCTCCTATGATGTATTAAGTTTACTTATATGCTGCTTTTCCACAATAACGTTTCTGGCAGAGGCGTACCTAGGCTCTCTTGGAGATTTATCAGCACCTCCCAAGGCTTTTTTCCAGCGGGAACTCCTCACTGAAGGTAAAAGGTACCCCTGGACGGATAAGTCCAGTGGAAGGTGACTATGGGGTTGTGGTGCTCATCTCGCTTTCAGGCCAAGGGAGCCGGCGTTTGTCCACAGACAGCTTTCTGGGTCATGTGACCAGCATGACTAAACCGCTTCAGAAGCAGTTTAGTCCTCATTGGAACTTGGTTCTGGCACCTCTCAGGGGCCATTTTGTTACCTTAACAACCCATACTTAGCGGGCCATTCCCAGGCTGGCCTGTCTATTCCAGCAATTTAATCCATGCCGGATCCAGGAATTAGAAGGGAGACTCTGGGCTACAGCCGACCCACCAGTAAACTCATAACACTATATTCCCATTGAGCATTATCCAACATTAATCATACAGCCATTAAATCAGTAGATTTCAGTTATGTCTGTTGATTTAAATGAGTCCGCTCTGAGGATGACAAGCATTGGATATCACCCATTGAATTTAGTACTTGGTATACTCTTGGGCAGGGTACTCCTGCAGAGGATTGTGTTGTAATTTACTCTCTACCCTCATAAATTAAGGGGCCTGTGCATTAGATTAAGACATGGCTCCCCAGGTTTCCATCATTTATCAGCTGCCTCGTTCTCTAATGTTTGATTTGGGAAAACACAGGGAGGCCCCTGCGCTAATTATATCTCCTGTGCAAATGTCACTGCATGCTTTCAGGCACATAAATATCCTTCCAACAGTAACATTAAAGATGCAGACAACCCATGATTAAAGCAAAGGGATGAAATAATACAATGTTCATTTTTAAAATAAAATCTCCCAAGCTTTTATAGTCCATAATCAAAATTTTTGCTCAAAGCAAATTATTTATTTCTGGACGTCCCAGAAAATGAATTATTATTATTTTGAAGACATTTGAAGGCAGCCCTGTATACAGAAGTTTTTAATGTTTAAATTATTTCTTTTTATGTTTCTGTATATGCTGGAAGCTGCCCAGAGTGGCTAGGGCAACTCAGTCAGATGGGCGGAGTATAACAACAACAACAACAAATAATCACAGAGCTGGAAAAGGTGCAGAAATGTTATAGATCAAGTATAGTAGAGAGACTTCACCCCCCCTCAAAAAAAAACCCCTCTCCCCTATCAACCCAGTGTCATAACAATCTCCTTTGTGAAACTGACTGCTAATAGATTCAGAACAAAATGCTTCTTCACACCATTAATCTATGGAATTCACTGCCACTAGGTGCCCCCTTGCTTACATTATCTAAAAAGGAGATTGGCCAATTCCATAGAGCAGCAGTAAAGAAACTCAGGTCTGGAGGCCAAACAGGCTTCCCGATCTGCTCCTCGGAATTCTCCCCACACACCTCACTTGTCTGACTTAGAATCCCATTTGTTTTTGCCTGGCTGGAATGTGTCCTTGGACTCTGTTAATGCCTCTTTCTTGCCTAGATAGAAACAGCCATGTGTCTATAGAAACTTGCCCACTGTATCAGTGTGAAATTTGCATTCCTTGCTCCACTCACTTTTACCACTGGCCCTGCCTACTTCTGGGTCCCCCAGAAGCGGATGTGCCTCTTGGGTTGAAACATCACCCCAGCCCCTGCCATAGCAGATAGGCTTATCATTGGTTAATACTCATGTCATGCTAGCTTTATGCTGGTTCAGAAGCAGAAAGGCATTGTATAGCAGTTTATGGGAGACCATCAAGAGGAGAGGGCTTTCGCATATACCCAATATAGAACAACAATTACAACAGGAAAAGAGGGGGAAATAGGGAGGAAAATGCAAAAACAAAACGCCAGCTTACTCCCCCTCCCCCCTCCGGGATGGATCAGTCTACTTAAGTTTCATGGAATTGTAGAATTGGAAGGGACCCCAAGGGTCATCTAGTCCAACCCCCTGCAATGCAGGAATCTCAGCCTAAATGAGTCTATGATTTCAGTGGTTGCCATTCTTCAGAGTTATCAGTAAATTATTTTATAAAAAGTTATCACGCTTCAACAAAATCACCCACATCATTTGTATTATTCAGTGCATGCAATCTGTTTCTTAATTTTTCTGCTACAGCAATCAACCATACCTGTTGTTTCCAATGAGAAATACACAGATATTCTAATACTTTCCAATTCTGTGCCACCAGCAGGCAGGCTGTCACTCAAAGAAAAGCAATCAGTTCTTTATAACAAAGGTCAAATTGCCCTTCTTTAAAAATGGTCAACTAATCCCAAACTTAGGGACGCTGGTAGCGCTGTGGGTTAAACCACAGAGACTAGGGCTCGCCGATCAGAAGGTCGGCGGTTCGAATCCCCGTGATGGGGTGAGCTCCTGTTGCTCGGTCCCTGCTCCTGCCAACCTAGCAGTTCGAAAGCACGGCAAAGTGCAAGTAGATAAATAGGTACTGCTCTGGCAGGAAGGTAAACGGCGTTTCCGTGTGCTGCTCTGGTTCGCCAGAAGCGGCTTAGTCATGCTGGCCACATGACCCGGAAGCTGTACGCCAGCTCCCTCGGCCAGTAAAGCAAGATGAGCGCCGCAACCCCAGAGTTGTCCGCGACTGGACCTACCGGTTGGGGGTCCCTTAACCTTAAAAATCCCAAACTTAGAGTACACTCCATATGTTGAAACTTAATATAATTTATCTCTGAAAATACCCTCTGCCAGAAAGGCTTTATATGCTATTGTTGCCTTGATGTCATGATGCTGAAGGAATCTGGCTGGCTGCTGTGTAAGGCAGAATACTAGACCGGATGCATCCCTTTTGTCAGATATAGGGCTGCACCTCTGAAGTTCTTAACAAAAATTAAGTTTTGTAATTAAAAAATAAAATCACAACTGGCCAAGGTGATGTGAATGTTGTTTTTCTAGTTGTATGTTCAAAGTTTCTAGATCTCTTTAGGCCACTATTGTCCATATCTGTAATAATCAGCTGAAGTCATAGGCTTCTCATGCCCTCAGGCAAACATTTCCCATCACCCCTAGATTAGACTTCTACAGACTCAAAAAGAAAATAACCCCCAGTTCTGGAAACAGGCACTGGCAGATTGGCATGCTGTAGGCTTCTCTCTAGAAACATGCTCTGTCACTGCTTCCCACCTCCCTCCACATGAAGGAATGGAAAAACACTACCTACATCAACAGTAAAAAGGGCCAAGCCCATAGGCGTTAAGCCAGTATTTCCAGTTCTCTTCAAAAGTTCTTAGCCAACTATTTAACCTTGATTTAATGGTGCCATTACGCTGAGAATTTTCCCCATCCACCCACATGGGTGCATCATGTAAATTTGCCCCCACCCACCAGCTGTTAACTATCCATAGATAAGAAGTTCCTGGTAATTTCATTGTTTCAGTCCTCTTCATTTGAAATTCCTTGTTTACACTTCAGCAGGAGGTAGAACGGTCAATGAACTTTCCATATTTTTCACTATCTCTTATGTGATTGATTCAATGATGGGCTCTTAATATTCTTTAACAGGAAAAGGCTTTTGAGGGGAATTATCTCCTGCCCGAAATTCAGCATTGCCTTTAGGATTGCACTGGTTACATGTAGTGACTGTTCCCTACTTGCTGGTTTTAATTACGCAATAAAGGCAGAAACGTGCGCAGCCAAAATCAACAAGCCTTATGTTATTACATATACTTACTGCTTTTTACGGTGCACGTGATGAGGGTATTCACATGTGCCGTTCATTCTGCAGAATGTGACACCTTTCTCTCGCACGACATGTAAGTCTCCAAATGTACGGTAAATTTGGAACGCTTCTCAAGCAGCTGTAGAAATATACGATGCAGCAGGTGCTCAGACAGCTCTGTACAAGGAAGAAAAGCAATGAAGAAAATGACGTAAAAATCCTGGTAATGTAGGCAAAAGGGTGCTGAGGATTGTTAAGAGACCCCGTAATCCCTTGCAGAGCTACAATTCCAAGTGCAGTTTACCAAACAATCCCTCTTCCTAGGGAATATCAATATATAAAAATTAGCATATTCAAAGTTTATCAACCTATTTGTCACAGACGTGTGGAGTTCTTTAAGCACCTAGCAATGGTCGCCCATTGACTAAATAGCATCGGGCAATGTGCATACAGCTGAAAAAGTATTCATTCCAAATGAAAACAAGATCAGCTTTAGTGGCACTTATTGGGCACTGCTAAACTGATAAGTCTCCCCTGATAAGTAGTGTTTCGCTGATAACCTTTGCATGTTTTTAGGGGCCCTTGATATTGAGGCTATTTGTTACCACTAGAGGGCAGGCATCGACAAAGGAAGTGTGTTGTCCTTAAGAGCCCTTATAGATTCCCTCACTTGTTTATTTTCATTATGAAGCACTGAAACAATGCCCAGACTTTGTTGGTTCTTGTTTACATTTAGTTCGAAACCAAAGTTTGTAACTAGGTCACCATTAAGCATGTGAGCCCAGAGCTACATCTCTTGCATCATAATGCAGAACAGTTGAAAAAGAAAAAGAAAATTAAAGGCAGTAAAAAACAAAACAACCCCCCCCCCCCCCAGCTTTGGAGCACAAATTAAGACTGCCTAGAATTTCAACAGCCTGGCTGGTTTTAAACCAAATTGATTATTTATTCTGCCAGGTTTTCGGATGCAACCAAGAAACAGATGACGGAACATGCGTAAAAGGGCAAAAATAGTTTCTGTTTTATCTGAGTAAACCCATGTTTCAGAATATAAATATTGATTTCCTGATACCCACATGGCAAGATGGGAAGAAATTGCACTCCAGTGGTTTGCACGTCAAATGGGCTCTGCTGGTGCATTTGCACCATGCAACCTCACTGCTGTGTTGCCCCTTGCCCTCCCAGTACCACCACAGCAATGGGAGGTCAGGTAAAAGGCAGAACCACTCTGCTCCACCAACCTCTACTGCTCAGAAGACGCAAAGTTGGCCATTGGTTCCATCTCCTCTCTCTTTCTCAGAAAGGGGAAGCTTGGGTTCACTAGAGACTGGAAGTAATAGCCCACTTCAGAAAGTAATTGTATTCCTTTGCTTCATGTTGGCCATTCGTCTTTGCTTTTCCAATTCATTCCACTTCCAGAGCAGTTGACACTATTCTGATTGCATTTGAGTTCTTCATAATAAGGATGCAAAAAACCACACCTGTCCTTTGTAGGTCTCTGGGCCATCTGACTCACTTTATAATGACATCCCCCTTTCTTCTTCTTTCTTGAGTGTATTTAGAATCTGATATGCATGATCACTTCATTCATCTGATGAAGTTAGTTAGGGCCCACAAAGCTTGGGCCACGATCCATCTGCTAGCCTGAAAAGCCACGAGACTCTTTGTTATGCTTTTCTTTTCTTTTCTTTTCTTTTACTATAACTCAGGTGAGCCCATTCCTGAAACTATTTATGGCAGCTTATTTGTGCCAAATTTAGCCAGGGTGTGTAGAAATAACTTTCCAAAATGCATCCATATCTTCAGTAGCCCAGGTTCATAGAATCATTGAATTGTACAGTTGGAAGGGACCCTAAGGGTCAATTTGTCCAACTCTTTGCAATGCAGGAATCTCAAATAAAGTATCCATGACAGATGTCCATCCAACCTCTGCTTAAAAACCTCCAATGAAGGAGAGTCCACAATCTCCTGAGGGGGTCCATTTCACAGAACAGCTCTTACTACCAGAAAGTTCTTCCTGGTATTTAGTCAGAATCTCCTTTCTTGTAACTTGAATCCATTAGTCCTGGCCCTATTCTCCAGAGCAGGAGAAAATAAGCTTGCTCCATCTTCCATGTGACAGCCCTTTAGATATTTGAATATGGCTATCTTATCTCTTCTCAATCTCCTCTTTTCCGGGCTAAACATACCCAGCTCCTTCAACCATTCCTCATCCTTCTTGGTTCCCAGACCCTTGATCATCTTAGCTGCTGTCCTTTGCACACGGGAGTGGATAAAAATGCAATTGAAATTCCTACTTGCCTATTGTTCTAGGATCCAAGCTTAGTACATAACAGCAATAAATAAGTAAATAGTATTTCGACTTCCGGTCTGCTGTGAAGGGAAATGGCAGTGAGCTCTGTGTCGTCCTATTAAGGAAGGACACGGTCCAGGCTGCGGGGGCTTTGGGGGTGAGCGCCAGGGCTAGGCGCCCCCCCCCAAAAAAAAGAATCCCCACTTGGACTTCTTGGCATGTTTTGAATAAATATCCACAAATTTATTAATAGAATATATGACAGATAAGGTAATGATATGTACAATTTTTAACATGCAGAGAATAATAAGCACAAACAAATCAGAGAAGGGAGCTGAGGGAAGTCTTGGGAGAGAGAGGGAGGAACGGGGAGGGGGGATATAAAGGGGGAAAATAATGTAATTGACTATTTGGATTGATTGAAATTGTTTAATAAAAATATATTTAAAAAGTAATAATAATTAAATAGTATTATTACATCTCAGGTGACCCTTTACCCACGATTAACACTACATGGAAGAGGAACTGAGGACAAGTGTACATTCCACTGCTACCCTGCACAAATCAGAGGGTGACTATCTATACTAGGAAGCTGGCTGGACTTGCGTAAGCTACCTGGTTGCTTTAGAACCTTGCTTTTTCCAGGGTTCTAAAATGTACAGGGAGTAGAACATGAGCAAATGTACGTGAGCATCCACTCTTGCGGAAGGCGATGGAGGGAGCAGGGTAAGCTTGCTAGCCTCCACACAGTGTTGGTCCCATGGTGAGAGAAACACCTTAAGAGGGCTAGCATGTCCCTCAAATCTGAAATTATTCAAATTGGCTTTTGGAAGCCATGGGTATAAGCTGGGGTTTAATTAGGGTAATTAATCAGGAGCTTTAACACATTCTAATGGGCACCTGAGTTATAACGCTAGGGTGGTAAGGCCCACTGAATTAGCTGAGTACGTCTAAGCTGGGCAATCTTCCAGTTATGGGTTGGCATGAAGTCAGAAGCTTCCCTCACATGGTGCAGCAACATTCTGCACTCCATGGGTGGGCCTAATCTGCTGCCCAGGATAGAAGACCACTGGCAACTCTGTTAAATCGTAGCAGAAAAGTGTAATAAATTGTGTGTGTTTTTAAAAAAACAACCTAATTTTTAATGCTTAAAAAAACACAACGATGTTAGAAGCTGATTTCTTTATTGTTTCCCCCCATAAGGATTTGCTTCACTTTGCTTTCAAAAATCCCATGCAATTTAAAAATAAATACAGTGGTACCTCGGGTTAAGAACTTAATTCGTTTCTGGAGGTCCGTTCTTAACCTGAAACTGTTCTTAACCTGAGGTACCACTTTAGCTAAGGGCCTCCCGTTACCGCCGCACCACCACCGCGCGATTAAGCAAAGTTCTTAACCCGAGGTACTATTTCTGGGTTAGCGGAGTCTGTAACCTGAAGCGTCTGTAACCTGAAGCATCTGTAACCTGAGGTACCACTGTATCACTCTTCCTTCCTCAAAAAAAAGGGGGGGTAAAGGACCCCTGACAGTTAAGTCCAGTCACGTACGACTCTGGGGTTGTGGCGCTCATCTCGCTTTACTGGCCAAGGGAGCCGACGTTTGTCCGCAGACAGCTTTTCCTTCCTCAAAGCACCTCCCAAAAACTGGTGGCAAGCAGCATAATTTAAAAACAAAGTAACTTTATTCACAATGAAGGCTTACTTACTTGAAATACCATAGTAGGCCTACCATGCATAGTTCCTTTCATGTCATTGTCGCTAGGGGCATTTCCACTCACTGGGTTATACGTAACTAACTTTTGCTCAGAGTAGACCCACTGAAATTAATGGACCTCAGTTGGGCATGATCATTAATATAAATGGGTAAATGCTAGTTTCCTAAACCCACCCATCCCACATCCAAGATAACAGAAATCATACATGCACACCAGAGGCTATTGGACTTTATAGAAATGGGAAAAGATTGTCACAGGAGGCCACCAGAGGAAAATGTGAGCAGGGCCTTTAAAATGGAATGCCACCTCACCCAAGCTGCACCTACAAGATGTTTGTAATTTTATTTATTATTACATTTATATCCCACTTTCCCCCCTCTCCATTGTTATCTTCACAACTGAGAGGATAAGAGACAGTGACTGGCCCAAAGCCACCCAGTGGGCTTCATGGCTGAGCCAGGATTTGAACCCTGGTCTCCCAGGTGTTAGTGCAGCACTCTAACCCCCACAGCACAATGCCGCTGGTACAAGAATCCTGGTCTCCACATTGTGCACAGACAGTGCCCATTGCTGGCTCTGCAGTTGCTTCACTGGCCATACTAAGGGTGTTGCCATCTCAAAAAGGTGGGTAGGGTTTCCTTGTGGTAAAGGTAACGCTGCAAAACAGGTTAGCTCTTCACAGAGGGGAACTCTACCCATGCCAACCATGACAACTATATGCCTCCTCCAGACTAAGAGGCGATATATCAGCTTCTAGAGTGTGAGAAGAGGAGAGTCATTGCTTTCACGTCCTGCCTGAGGGCTCTTATGTTCTTACAGCATTATGATGAGATCCCTTTCTAACCAACCTTGAACTTGTGCAGGAGATTTTGCCAAAATTTGACAATCCCACCAAACATATCAACCAGTTTCTGCATCTATTTTGTATGCTAATGGCATTAGGAAGCATACACCACCTTCCATAATGTTGATTACATCTTCCATAACTACCTATTCACACCAACAGAGGAAAGGGTGTGGTGGTAAACAACGAATGCGAGCTAGTTGGATCTCGCCAGTATTTGCCTGCCTTCAGCATTTCCTCCTGAAATAAGGGGATAATAACATTAGCAGCTTACTTCACTGTGTTTGTATTAGGATTACTAAGGCTGTGTTAGCATGTTCCAGCAAGAACAACAAGGGACCTGGTAGCCCCTGAGGCTTCACTTGACGTTGTTAAGGTTGGCTTGTTAGTTTTGGTGAGTTGGAGTGCACTTCGTTAGACACATGAAATGTTCTTCTCAGTTGGCAGATCCATGCATGATGCTACAGGCCGAAAGGGAAGAGAGGTTATTCAACAGATGCAAGAGAACAGGTGTGCCCCATTGCAATGTGGGCACAAAGAAGAGCAAGACCCACTCCCATTTGAAGAGGACCATTTATCTTCCATATCAAGCTGGCCACTTGGAGAGGCTCTTTTCCACCCAATTCTGATGGCATTAAATTTGCATCTCAATTCCAGTTCAACAGCCCTGCAGGGGAGTCTGTCTATGAAACTTTTTGTTCCTTTTTTTTTTGGTTTTGTTCCCAGGGTGAGTTACAGCAATGCAACCGTGCAATCCAGAACAAGTAAAAGAAGTAGAACAGTCTGTGTACAAACAAGTGCATCTGTTCCAAGCCAAAAGTAGCACAATATATAGATTAAGCAAAACAGAACAGGTGGAGTCCCATAAAGATGGACCTTAGCTGTCCAAGGCCAGGGCAAAGAGGTGCATCTTCAGCATAAGCTGGAAGCTGTCCAGTGAAGATGCTTCTGTGAGGAGGGCTGCCACAAACAAAGCCCTCTTCTGGACAATGCCTTTCCTAATGAATGCAAAGGGAAACTCTCATCCTAAGCCTGTGCTGCCATGTGGGATATCTTTGGGGGAAGAAAAAGCAAAGGGGTAAACTACACAAATACGAAGAAGTGAAGTTGGATGGCGTCTTGTACACTTCCTCCCAGCAACTCCTGCTGCCAAGCTAGTGCCAAACACATCGCTCTGCTTTCCTTTGGATCACAAAGGATCCAGGGATGGGGCATTTGTGGCCCCTCCACATTGTGCTGCCTTCCAGCTCCCATCAGTATCCCAGCCAGAATTGCCAAGGGTCAGAGGTGATCCAACAACCTCTTGAGAGGACAGTCTACATAGAATTATAGAACTGCAGAGTTGGAAGGGACCATGAGGAGGATCAACCAGTCCTATCCCCTGCAATGCAGGAACCTTTTTGTCCAATGTGGGGCTCGCACCATGATCCAGAGATTAAGAGTCTACTACTGAGCAGTGCCAGATTTACGTATAAGCTAAACAAGCTATAGCTTAGAGCCCCACTTTCTTGGGGGCCCCACAAAAATGTAAAGAAAAAAACCTGGATGAACATTTCCAAAATATAAGATAAAAAACAAATAAAATAAAACCTACATACAGCAACAGTGTTGTGTGTTGTGTAGGCTCCTATTTTGTCATGTGCAAATAGTTTTGATACCTATTAGGTCCATAAATTGTCATATCGAACAGGGGTCAGCAAACTTTTTCAGCAGGGGGCCGGTCCACTGTCCCTCAGATCTTGTGGAGGAGGCAGACTATATGGGGGGGGGGATGGACAAATTCCTATGCCCCACAAATAACTCAGAGATGCATTTTAAACAAAAGGACACATTCTACACATGAAAAAACACGTTGATTCCCTGACTGTCCACGGGATTTAGAACGCAATTGGGCCAGATCCAGCCCCTGGCGCCTTAGTTTGCCTACCCATGATATAGAATATATTCAATACATGATATAGAATATATTCAATACGAAAAACAGTGACAATTTGTTGTTGACAAAGGACAGCTGGACCTATAAAGGGCCCCATTACCTCCAGCAGCTTAGGGCCTTATCAAACCTAATTCCGGCCCTGCCACTGAGCTATCTTATTGGTTGATTTGGATTATATTGCTGTGCTGCTTTGCACTGCAATGAATCTCAAAGCGGCTTCCAAACAGTCAAGAATAACGACCTTATTTATTTATTTATTCCCTGCTTGCTCTTTGCTGCAACGGACTGAACGGAGCTAACCCCAGGGAAATGTTCCAGTGGAGAGACGGTGGTGGGAAGACCAGCCGGGCTGAAAGCGGGGTGTGGCGACAGAGTGGGGTGGTTTGAGGACTACCTCGTGCGGGTAAAGAAGAAGAGGTGGCTGGAAGCCAGCCTTGGCACTTTTGGCGGGTGGCGCGGAGATGGGCGGCGCGCAGGAGGCGGGGCCTGGGCGAAGGACGCGGCGGCCCCGGCCGGGCATGGGATAAAAGGCGAAGGCGGCTGCCCGGGAGCAGCGCAGGGCGAGATCCCCGGGGCTGCAGAGAGAGAGCAGGCGCGCGAGACCAGGCACGATGGAGATGTACAGCAAGGCAGAGACGCTGGAGCTGCGGAAGAAGCACATCGGGTGAGCCAGGGGGCAAAGCCAGGGGAGCCGAGAGGGGCGGAGGGCGCAGGCATGCAAAACTCTCGCGCGCCCCAGAAAAAAACTTCCCAACTTTCCACCCCACATTCTGCAATCGCTCTCATTCTTTCTCCGGCACGATTGTTATTTATTATTAAATTTGTATACTGCCACTCATCCGTAGAACTCAGCTAACAGACCCCGGCAGGTCCTCTACCTGCGCGGTAAAGGCGACTTGCAAAAGATCTCTCTAGCGGAGATGGCGGTTGGTGGTGGGTCTACACTCATCCTGGCCAGATCAAACTCTGAACCAAATCGAAAGGGGGTGGAAATCAACCTACCAAAACCTTCTTTGCCCTGTCCCTGCCATCAGCAGAACTGCCACTTTCCCTGTATAAAAAGCCTCTGACATTATCTTGCACTAACGTATTTCATAGCCCTAAATTGTCACATTTTCTGAAAGGATCCGTATTTGATCATTTGAATTATCACGAATATTTTCTTTTTCATAAATAGAAAGGATTTAAAAGCAACACTTTTAAATAGAAAGGATTTAAAAGCAACACTTTCAATGGGAAAGTCAAGCACATGCTTTAAAATCTCCTCTTGAAATCCATGGAAGTTGCAGCCTGCTTGTTTGGAGATTTCAGTGCAAATCTGTGCATTTTTGCAGATGTTCGGACCCACAGTTTGCATAGAATTTAAGTCTTTTAAAGCACTTAACTTTTGGTGGGTCGTATTGCTTACCTAATTTCTCCCCCCCCCCTTAAAAAAAGAACACTTTAAAAAGTTTTTAGCACTTTCTAGGAAGGCTTATTTCTTTAAAAAAATCCAAAAGTTTTTTTTAAAAAAATATTTCTTAGAAACAAAAATGGGGAAATGCTACACTTTCAGTGACACTTAGAAATGCCCTTCCCTCCCTCTCTCTCTCTCTTTGCCACGCAATCAGCTGAAGCCCTGCTGATAATGAAAATTATTCACTTCTCTGGGGTGTGATACTCTGGGGTGTAATGCTTGAATACTGTACAAAACCCCATCTGGCAGTCCAAAAAATCTCCTTTGCCTCTGTGCATAGGACATCTGTGCCCTTATCTAACCCCTGTATAAATAGTCAGATTAACAGCCAGGAAGGTGGATCAGTGTTTGACCTTCCAAAGGAAACTTGGACAAGTGCAGTAAATGCACAGAGGCGCATGTGATGTCAGTGGCATTAAACAAGCATGCAAGATTGTGTAACCAGTTGATACACTGTACTCACAGTCCTTGCATAACCCAAGTGGATCCTGGGCGTTCTGCAAAGCCAAGCCTGGAATTCTGCCCGCCAAAGAGGCGAAAAGTTCTGTGCAAACTCTGAGAGTTGTTGTCTCCCTTGGATTATTATTTCATCCTTAATACAATAATAAGCTATTTTGGCTCCATTGGCATACAGTAGAAGCTGGGAACCAGCTAAAGATACAAAAGGCCAGCCAAAACAAACAAAAGGTTAGGGCTCAATTCTTTGGGGCTGTCTTCTTGTGGTTCATTAAAAAAACCTAGGAAGAGACTCACTCCAGGTTGCATTGTTCTCCCCTTCTCATGCACACTGCTTAATGCATGGGAGTCCCTACAGACACACTGGGAACCCCTCCCTTCCCCATTATCAGCCCTGCTGTGCAGACAGCTCTCTCATGGAAGCAGCTGTATGCACCCAATGGAGAGTGTGGAAGAGGAAATGGATGGAGCCTTTTTTGTGTGGCGGGTTTGATCCTTTCTTAATGAATGGTTCCCAATTTCCCCAGTCTATGCTGTTTGTGGTGAGGGAACAAAACCCTGTGCATGTCCAAAATAACTCTGTTATTTGGAGATTGGCTTGGTGTGTTGAGCAATATATCACATTTAAGTTATTTTCCTTTTCACAGGTGGGAAGAGATACCAAATTTTCCCTAAGGCAATTCCTGTACAGTGGTACCTCAGGTTACATACACTTCAGGTTACATTCGCTTCAGGTTACAGACTCCGCCAACCCAGAAATAGTACCTCGGGTTAAGAACTTTGCTTCAGGATGAGAACAGAAATTGCTCTGGTGGCGTGTCAGCAGCAGCAGGAGGAGGCCCCATTAGCTAAAGTGGTGCTTCAGGTTAAGAACAGTTTCAGGTTAAGAACGGACCTCCAGAATGAATTAAGTACTTAACCCGAGGTACCACTGTACTATGATGAGTGTTCCATGAAGCCAGCCATATTTACACTTGGAAAGACATAATTTACTATTTTCCCCTCACTGACTGAGTCTTTCCAGGACAATGCTTGAGGACTCCTGATAGACCATAATGAATTTGCTGCATTTACGTGTTTGTACAAGTGTATGCAGTGGTCTGGAGAAGGAGCTTTTCAGCAGACCTAAACTAAAGCAATGCTTTTGTGCTTTTCAGGCCCTCGTGCAAGGTCTTCTTTGCTAAGGACCCCATTAAGATTGTGTGTGCCCGTGGGCAGTATATGTTTGATGAGAATGGAGAAAAATACTTGGACTGCATTAACAACGTAGCACATGGTAAGAACTATGGCGTAATATATGTTGACAGCTTTTAAAGTGCTCCCATTCATTTTAGGTAGATTTGGGGTCTTTTTTCAGGTACTCTCAAATGGGTTCATTGACTTCTCTTCGCTTGGTCCTTTCCAGTTGGACACAGCCATCCAGATGTGGTCAAGGCTGCGGTGAAACAGATGGAGTTACTCAACACCAATTCTCGCTTCCTGCACGACAATCTGGTCCAGTATGCCAAGCGTCTCACTGCGACCCTCCCAGAGCCTCTCTCTGTTTGCTACTTCGTGAACTCTGGGTATGGCTAAAGGACTTTTCATTGCTATTATCTTTTGGAAACTTGTATAAATTAACTTCTACATTTTAACAGCTTTGGGAGATGATGAGAGAACAGAGTTAACGAATACAGTGGTGCCCCGCAAGACGAATGCCTCGCAAGATGGAAAACCCGCTAGACAAAAGGGTTTTCCGTTTTGGAGGTGCTTCGCAAAACAAATTTCCTATGGGCTTGCTTCGCAAGACGAAAATGTCTTGCGAGTTCCTGCGGGGTTTTTTTCCTCCCCCCCCCCTTTTTCCCAAGCCGCTAAGCCGCTTATCAGCTGATCGCTAAGCCGCTTATCAGCTGATCGCTAAGCCGCTTATCAGCTGATCCACTAAGCCGCTTAACAGCTGATCCGTTAAGCCGCTAAGCCGCTTATCAGCTGATCCGCTAAGCCGCTAAGCCGCTTATCAGCTGATCCGCTAAGCCCGCTAAGCCGCTAATAGCACTAATCCGCTAAACCGCTAATGGGCTTGCTTCGCAAGACGAAAAACCCGCAAGACGAAGAGACTCGCGGAACGGATTCTTTTCGTCTTGCGAGGCACCACTGTATAGGGCTTTCTAAGGTTGTGCCCAGGTCTTCATGTTGGCAAAAATTCATATGGTCATAGTATTTGTTTATCTTTTACATTTCTATCTCATCTATGCATGCATGTTTATTTGCGGGACCGCCTCTCCTGGTATGCCCCGCAGAGGACCTTAAGGTCCATGAATAACCATAGTTTAGAGGTCCCGGGCCCTAAGGAAGTCAGACTATCCTCCACCAGGGTCAGGGTCTTTTCAGTGATGGCTCCGACCTGGTGGAATGCTCTGTCCCATGAGACTAGGGCCCTACAGGATTTAACCTCCTTCCGTCGGGCCTGTAAGACAGAGCTATTCCTCCTGGCCTTTAATTTGAATTCAGTCTGATCTTTTATTTCCCTTCTTCCCTTCCCCTCCCCTTTTATGAAGATTACCCGCTCTGAGACCCCACAGCTAATTCTCCCCTGGCCTCCTCGCTGGCCCAAGTAGGACCAATTCAGCTAGCTAGCCCTGGGGATTATCTAATGTTTATTTCCCCTAAAGTGATTTCTAAATTGAATTTTATTGTTATTCATGTTTTTATACTGTATTTTATGCTGCTTTTACAATTAAGTGTTTTTAATTTGTTGTTAGCCACCCTGAGCCTGGTTTTTGAACCAGGAAGGGTGGGGTAAAATAAAATTATTATTAGTAACCTGTTCCTTTATTATTATTATTATCATCATCATCATCATCATCATCATCATCTTTCCCTTGTTCCTATTTTGCAACAACCCTGTGGGGTAGGCTGAGAGACAGTGGAAAAAAAGCTTCATGGTTGAGTTGAACCTGGGTTTTCCTAATCCTAGTCTGAGACTCTGTACTTTCAGCAGATAAGGGTTATGACTCTGCAAATGAAATCTCTGCAGAAGAAGGTTTCACTAGATACAATCAGTTTTACCAGATATAAAACACAGGAAGAAGCTTGCTGCAAAGGACACAACAGATTGCAGCGCGAGGGTTTCTCCAAATGCAAAACAACCAGATTGTGCAATGCGGAACTGTCTCTCCCTCTCCCAGGCCTCTTTGGATCAGTCCAAGGAATTCCTCCCATCAGCTCCAATGCATTCAGTGAGCTCCATGCCCAGAGGGGCTCCTCAGCCAGGGATGTTCTGTGTACACAGCGGGCCACATCTCTTCATAGAATGGGAAGGCTTCACATACAGGCAGCACCAGATCATGTCCACAACCTGTATGTCCCCTCATTTTCCTGGGCAGCCCTCAAGATTAGCAATGTAAACCAAAGCTGAGCTATTCACAAGTTCATATTTTGTGTCCACCTGTAGATTTTATGATAATCAAGACATGAACAAATGTGCAGAATTCACCTAGGTTTAGATGTGATCGCTATGGGATGCTTTAGTTGAGATTCCTGCATTGCAGGTGGGTTGGACTAGATTACCCTTGTAGGTCCCTTTCAACTCTACGATTTTATTTCCATGTGTGGGTCCATGTGAAGCAACTCTTTGGCTTTCCAACCCAGAGAGAATCCTGCCCTCATTCAACATTTTCACTCTGAATCCAATAGGTGTGCTATTAATCATTTCTAGGGGATTAGAGTTTGACATATGCCTGTCTGGAGTTATTTTATCTTTGGCTTAAAAAAGTTTATTATGTGGCTCTCCTGTTACAATAGCTGCTTTCATTGCCTTCTAATTTTGTCCCGCAGATCTGAAGCAAATGATCTCGCTTTGCGCCTGGCCCGCCAATACAGGGGCCACCAAGACGTGATTACACTTGACCAGTAAGTATGCTGATGGTATGGATGAGATCAGTTCGTTGCAACATGATGCAGATGGGTCATGTGCTACTATAATGACTGTTCAGTCTGTAGCCAAGCACCCAGAGCCCCATACATGAAGATTCTGCATGCATGGAGCTTCCGTGATCACAGTTAGTTTCTCATTCACCTCAGATGAGGTCACTGATCTGCACACAGTGATCTGTAAATAAATGTATCCATTAACTTCATCAAGACTTCTTCATTTTGACTCAAACCTCTGTTTTGACTCATCCGTTTCTGTGAGGAAGAGGTTGCCTCTGCATAGTTGTATGTCATAGAGGGAAACGGTCTACTAATTCCTATTAATTAGAGAATATTTGCATTTGTAGTTCAATAATAATAAATATTAAAAACAATGAAAATTGTGAACAGCGACACTGAATATGTTGCTGTAGTGATACCACATACAGAAAACTAAGGTTAAACTGAGATTCTTTGTCAGTTTAGGTGCAAAACTTATGTAAAACATGTGCAAAACTAACCTGTAACAGAGTCTGCTTCTGTTGAACTCTTTCACACTCTGGAGTCACTTTGCATCCATCTTCTGTTTCAGTGCTTATCATGGTCATGTTACATCACTGATTGACATCAGTCCATATAAATTTAATCAACTGGGGAAAGAGGCCAAAAAGGAATTTGTACATGTGGTAAGTAATTATTATACTGGATTCTTACTGCCCTTAGCATATTTCTATTCATTGCAGATACAAATGAAATGCAAAGCTAAACTGCATAGCAATACCTCCACAAAAATCTATAAATACTATTTAGTGATATTTTGGTTGGCCTAATCAATGTAAGAAGCCTGGGGCGCTTCTTACAAGATGAATTGTATATGGACAGAGATATATTTTGTCCTGAAAAATGCAAGATACCTACAGTAGAAAAAGCATGTTTTTAAAAAACAAAAGCAAAAAAAATTGGTAGGTTTCTGTATCCAAGAATCTCTTAAGAAATGGCTCTTAATTGTCATGAGGAATTCATGGACAATAAATCTGACAGTGGCTAGTAAGCATAGCTCTCTTGCAAGGTTCAGCATGAGCAGGCCCCAAGATCTGGAAATCAGAAACATCCTGCCTTCTAGATGCCAATGCACCCTCCCCTCATGATATGCCTTAAAGGACCCCTGCACACACAGATCCCTACACACTTTGAAGCCCCTTCAGACTGATGTCAATTAGGCTGATGGACAACAGGGGCAGACTTTAGTAATATAGCTCCCTGAGTGAGGACCATTTTTTGTGCCCCTTCCCCCTTATTTTCACAATAATTCTTTTTGGTGCAGTTTACCCTTATTTATCCATATAAATATAAGTTTTTAAATTATTTTGTGCTCCCCCTCAGCCCGGCACCCTTCCAGATCACGGGGACAAACAGCAGAAGACTGCTCTTCCAAGCATCTAATAGGGGGTTGTTGAGAACAGATATTGAACTAGATATGAGTCAGTGTATGTTATTATGGTCTCACTTCTTTGTCGTTTCTGCCTTCTATCCCACTTCCTGGAAAGCCAGGGATACGGAAAACCTGTGGACCTATACATTAAAATACTGGAAATGTTAAGGTCCTCTTGTGCCTCTGATGCATGGTTTCTTATTAACCTGCTGTGGGAAGATTTAGAAGAAAATCGGCATGTCCTACGTGAGGTGCACACCAGATATGGTTTTTAAGGCCAGTTTTGTTCCTGTCGGAGGAGGAGCCAAGGACAGTGCATTCAAAGATTTCAAATCTTCTTTTGCCACTCTTTAGGCTCCTTCACCAGATATATACAGAGGAAAATATAGAGACGACCATCCCGACCCAGGAAGCGCTTATGCCGATGATGTGAAAAAGATAATTGAAGAGGCTCAGAAGAATGGCCGCAAGGTATGTAAACAACAGAGGAACATGAAAGCCTGCTCAGATTGTGTCCTGAAAAATGCTCAATTAGGTGAACTTGACTGCTTTATATAGTAATAATAATAATAAATTTTATTTATATCCCGCCCTCCCCAGCCGAAGCCGGGCTCAGGGCAGCTAACAACAAAGTTCTCTTTGCCTCAATTCATTCATAGAAAAATATAGCTGGAATTTCTTTTGTTTTTACTGGATTCCTGGATTTTAAGGTGCCTTCTACCCCCCCTTTAACTTGCATTCAAAACTCTCACAAGAAAATAATAGGTAAGGATTGAGTAAAGAAGAAGAAAGGAATAAATAAATCTAAACCTCCGTTTCATACGTAAGAGCAGGCTTAAAGCATAAAGCTCTATTTTGATTGTGCTCTGAAACTGCACATAGAACTTTTGCTGAAATTAATGGGGCTGTATGTAGCAACAGTTAAAAGGCACAGGATATAATGCACTGCAGTGTACAGCCTCTGTTCCTAAAATCCCCACCCAGTTTGAGCCCTCATGCCTAAAGGGGGCTTACGTTTATTTATTTTTGCAACAACACAAAATCATACAAACTACCAAACAGATTAACAAGAAGAAATATATAAAAGCCCAGCAGCTTCTCAGAATTTCTCACGGGGGTGTCCCAGTGCAAAGAGAAGAAAATCAGTAGGATCCAGTGGAATGTTGCACTTTGAGGATCCAGAGATATGAATTTAAATGCTAGCTCATGTGAACAAAAATTACTCAAAGCAGTTGACAAAATGGCAAAGTAAGCTGTTGATTTAAAACATAGCATCTTAACACGAGTAATGATATAGGAACTTGCTGACTTTGTTGGTGTGGAGAGATATTTCTAGAACTCGCATGGAGGCTTGTTATTATTAGTCACTTCTTTTCCAGAAAGGTGAACTCGAAGGAACTTGCAAAAGCAAACAATACAAACAAGAATAAAAACAACCTAAAATGCCCACCAGTAGTGATTGGAGCCACTATTTCCCCATCACCTTAAAGTCCAAAGGAGCCCACCCATCTGTCTTTAATTCCTTATTGAGATTTATAAAAAAGAAACTAACTGATAGTTTCTATTTTCCCCCCTTTGTCTGTTTCCTCCCTTCCCCTCGCATTATCTTCCTCATAGGTTCTGGTGCCGTAGACCTCTGCCAGGAGCAGTTGATAAAGTTTCACAGACTATGGGGAGCCTCCTACTGTCTGGCTGTAGTATACCTCTTCGAATATAGTGTACGCTTCTTTACACGTTACCACACGACCTTCTTTCCAGGAAGACGGCACTGCTCAAGCTTGCATGGACCCCTGACTGATGCTCGGGGAGGGTTGTGCAAGAGTGAGGGAGGCAGTCAGTTAAATGGCAGATTTGGGCTGACCCTCCAGGCAGACTTGGGGGAGAACAAAGGCATAATGCTGAATGCAGAAAATGTAAGCTTCCAGTTCCAGTCTATCTGATCTGCTGATGTTGATTCCTGATCCCAAATAACCTTTTTTGGTTTGTTTGTTTTCATTCCTAGCTACTGGAATCACTTCAGCTGTAGGCTCTGTCTTTTTGTCAAATGCCTCATCCTGATTTGCTCTGCATACGTTTTCCTTCTTCTTCTTCTGAAGCAGGGGTGCCCAAAATACAGCTCTGCACATCTTCAATGCATTTGTTTGTTTCCCATTTTGAGCCACAGGAAAGGGGTTAAATCGGCTATCACAGAATGCCATGTGAATGAAGCTGATGGAGGTTCACGAGGTCACAGGGTGAAGCTGATATAAAGACTATAAAGCACCTTTAGTAATTAAATTATTGAAATGTGGACAATCATTAATAATAAATAGATAATAAATAACTCATCAGAACAGTGAACCCATCAGATACTTCCAGTATCACATTTGTATTCTGCAAGAATAGACCGACTAAATGAGTTTTTAAATAAATGTGCACAGTAAATTCAAGACTTTGAGCATTGGGTCAATAATGAGCTGTAGAATTATGCTGGATGCTTGCCCTGGCATTGAAAAATTGGGCACCTCTGCCATTTTTGTTGTCGTTACTGTTGCTCACAGCTGTTCAAGATGCAACATAGCTATCCAAACCGCATATTCATTTATCTCACCTGTTTTCATAGGGTTCGTGCCTGTAGCTGTTGTTTCATTTGCAAACGAGTAAGCAGAGGAATGCTCTTCTTATAACATCTTCTCTTACTTAGATTGCAGCCTTTATTGCTGAGTCCATGCAGAGTTGCGGAGGCCAAGTAATTCCACCTGCAGGCTATTTCCAGAAAGTGGCAGAGTATGTATAGTGCTTGGGATGGGTTACTTACAGCAGGCTACTTACTAAAAATCACAGGAAGAGTCTACTTATTTGGTTCTTTGTGTAGCTTTAATCTTTGTTCCTGCTACGATTATTATTTTTTATTTCTGTAAATAAATATTGCCCAGTAACAAGAGATGCCTTTCTCAAAGTAGCTTTTGGCAATTCAATCCAAGGCCAATAAGTTGGTGGGGTGGTACATAAGGAATATAAGTATTGCTCAAAGTTCAGTGATGGCAGACAAATTGGATGGCTTTAAAAGAGGACTAGACAGGATAAGGTTATTCATGGCTACTAGCCAGTTAATGTGTTATCACAGTCTGCTTATGGGATTCCCATAGGCAACTGGTTGACCCACTGAGAGAACAGGATTCTGGGCTAGTTGCAATGAACAGCATGACTTCTTATTGCACAGTAGCTCTGAGGTGATCTGCACATTAAGAAAAATCACATGGTACATCATTCCTAGAACTTGAGAATACAGGAGGCCCTGCGCATTGTGTGTATCAGATCTTTTTATCCAATATTTCTAGACCACACATATCCTTCTGTGACTGGACAGAGTGAACTCAGGTCAACTTTATCCATCTTCTGGCCATGCTATAAAGAGCATATGGCCTGATAAGCACTTTTCTGAATTCTCAGCTGTAAATTCCCCTTGCAGGACCATAATTGAAGTCTTCATGTAAACACTCCTACATGACAGTGACACATCGCAGTGAGACATCTGTTCTGTTCCCTTTTTATTTTCAGTGCTGTCCACAAAGCGGGTGGAGTTTTCATAGCTGATGAAGTCCAGGTCGGTTTTGGTCGAGTTGGAAAAAAATTCTGGGGATTCCAGCTACAAGGCGAAGACTTTGTGCCTGACATTGTCACTATGGGGAAGCCAATTGGCAATGGCCATCCCATGTCTTGTGTAGTTACCACCAGAGAGATTGCAGAAGCTTTTGGTGCCTGTGGACTGGAGTACTTCAATACGGTGAGCTTCTCTTCTAATATTATCATTTATAGTTATAAATTGGGTATGAGGAAACTTTGGCTCTCCAGATGTTGCTGAATGATCATTAGCCCTGGTAAGTTTGGCCAGTGACCAGGGATGATGGGACTTGTAGTTCAGCAATATTAGGAGGGCCACATCTGTTATAGGGGCCTGGCATGCATAATTGCACCATCATCGATTGTTACAGAAAGAATGTTCAGAGCACCCGGTAATGACTCAAATAATGCTTTTCAGTGAAGCCAGTTCACCCAGTTTAGACAACAGCATCAGGCAACATCTGGCCCTGATCCATCTCTTATGTATGGTGTGAAGTGAAATAGCACCTGCCTTCTCAATCCATTTAGCAGAACTTCATGCAATCTGGGCCAATGTCCTTTGGATTCTATGCCCATAGGTGCAGCAGTGGCCCAGGGGGTGGGGGAGCAGCAGTGACAGAATGTTACTGTGTATGTCAGCACTGCCAACCCAGAGTTCCTCTGCCCTCACTGCTGCCCCAACCCCATCTCATCTCCACACAGCACTGCTGCATAGGCATGAAGTATTATTATCTTTTGAAGACACTGGTGGCACACCAGGAGGGTGGGGAAGACGAGCGTGCTCTCAATTCCCCATTAAGCACAAGGTGATAGGAAATATTCAGCCTAGTAAGGTTTGACCATACGTTGCAATATCATGCATGCACCAACTGAGTCTCATACTGAATAGATGCTCAGGTTGAACTTCTTAATGCCTAAATGAGACTTTGATTGAAAATGTACAGCTTCGTCATGCAAATAATATTGAACACATGGTCTCTTGTGTGTATATGTAAAACCAGTACATGGTGCTTACTGTTTTATTTCTTTAAAAGTGGAGCTGGAGCCTTGTTGTTGCTTAGTCGTGTCCGACTCTTCGTGACCCCATGGACCAGAGCACGCCAGGCACTTCTGTCTTCCACTGCCTCCCGCAGGAGCTGGAGCCTAAGTTATAGCAAAGCTTTACTCAATGTAGGAAAGCAGTACAAACCCTGTGGTGTTTTATTCCCTTCAAACTTTTCAAAATAGAAACTGCTAAGAAGAAATATGACACTCCGTAGCACCACATAAGGTGCAAGTTAAAAAGATAGAAGGAAATTTGCACCCAATATTTCTTGTTTGCCTAAGAAAATAATCTGATGCCAAGCCCCGTCTTGCTCAAAACATTCATCAAAATCTTTGGATGAAAAAATAATTGAGGCAGCAATAACCTGTTTCTTCTTGGTCATTTCCCCCCCTCAGTTTGGGGGCAACCCAGTGTCCTGTGCAATTGGACTGGCTGTTTTGGACGTGATAGAAAAAGAAGATCTCCAAGGGAATGCCACACGTGTTGGAAACTATCTCACTGGACTACTGAAGGAACAAAAAGAAAAGCATCCACTGGTGGGAGATGTCAGGTAGGCACAACAGGGTAAACATAAAAAGTTTTAAGATCTAGAAGAATGTATAATTAGGGGTGGCCTCTTCAATCCAAGGACTGCATTGCCCTCTGAAGACCCAGGAGACACATTCCAGTGGTGGGTGCAATCATACCCACCTCCACCACTGACAACTACTGAATAACAGATCAGATAACTGTTTTGTACAGGAGACCTACCACACTACTTTGCAAAACTATTTGGAGTTGGGTGCCTTTTGTGCAACACTGAGATTTGATTGCTGCACCTCTGATTCCCTCCCTTTTCTTTATATTTTTCAGAGGTGTTGGTTTGTTTGTTGGAGTGGATCTTGTGAAGGATCGACAAAAGAGAACGCCTGCCACTGCTGAGGCCCAGCATATTATCTACAAGTAAATATATACTGGCTTGCTTTAGACGTTCTTTTCATCAGTTTTAACTTTACAACTTCCAGGCTAGACATTCAAACTGAAGGAGATGAAATTCATAGTCAGGTCAGGGCTGAGTAACTGAAGATGCCCTCACGATTTACCCAGAATCATAAAACACAGCTTTAAAGGGACTGACTGCGTTATAACTTCACATACCTAAATGCATTTTGGAGTTTGCATTCCAAATTAAATCTGTGTTCCCTTCTAATCAGGCTGAAAGAACAGAGGATTCTTCTGAGTGCTGATGGACCTTATCGAAACATCTTGAAATTTAAGCCACCCATGTGCTTCACTATGGAAGATGCAAAGTTTGTAGTTGATCAGATTGATGAGATCCTCACAGGTAAGCATTCTTGCATGCCTACCGGTTCCTTTGCATATATGGCCTCCAATTTTGTTCTATAGGTAACAGAGGTAGTTAAGAGTGTGGCAGAGAACTGGGGATGGAGGGAGAAAGGGTGCGGTGGCTGTAGCCTTTCTTAGTGTCTTGGCACATCTAAAGATATAGGAAAGACTTGGCAACTCCAGATGTCAAAATCAGACAAGAGCTAGTGGTCAGTGTAAGCTTGTGACCCATTGCAGAGATGTCTGATCATAGTTGGAGATGCAACATTAGATTATGTAGATTGCAGAACCCGGACTGATTCAGCCAGGATCATTTCAGCTCCCAGGTGAACTCTTAGTTGTAAGTTGCGGATAGGTTGCTTGTTGCTGAAACGTGTCTTAAGTGAATTCTAAAGAAATTTATCTAGTCCCACAAGAAAATAAGCTATTATTTAAAACTACACGAACTTTTTCTTTACACTTTGTGACTTCTGTACCTAATGATGGAAAACCTACTCCCCCCCCTCTTGTCCCAGATTTAGAAGATTCAACAATAAACAGGACCAGAGATGAATTACCAACAAGTATACAGAGTAAAAGAAAAGTAAGTTGGAAACCCCAAAATGACACTGCCAGTCAATATAGACAAAAGTAATCTGTGGGTTAAACCACAGAGCCTAGGACTTGCAGATCAGAAGGTCGGCAGTTCAAATCCCCATGACGGGGTGAGCTCCCGTTGCTCTGTCCCTGCTCCTGCCAACCTAGCAGTTCGAAAGCACGTCGAAGTGCAAGTAGATAAATAGGTACGGCTCCGGCGGGAAGGTAAACGGTGTTTCCGTGCGCTGTTCTGGTTCGCCAGAAGTGGCTTAGTCATGCTGGCCACATGACCCAGAAGCTGTACGCCGGCTCCCTCAGCCAATAAAGCGAGATGAGCGCCGCAACCCCAGAGTCTGTCACGAGTGGACCTAATGGTCAGGGGTCCCTTTACCTTTACCTTTAATCTAGATGGACCATTGTCCTGGCTCAATATAAGACAGCTTTCTAAGTTCCTATGAGCTGTCTGAAGACTTTCCTGTCTTATAAAACTTCACCCACGTACTTCATGTTTAGGGCTTTCTCTCAGTACGCTTTATGTCATGCCATGCTCTCCCCCCCCCTCCCAACACTCATACAAGCAGCTCAAAACTCACCTATTCCATAAACCATTGGGATAACCCATAGTCATAACTGAAATAATGCCTAAATTACATGCATGCAGCTGCATTTGCTCACATTATTCTGTTCTTATTCTTGGCTTTGCATACTTCATCTCTCTGCTGATTTGCTACACTTGCCTCTCTTCTGTCTCATGCAATGTCTAAAATTTGATTGTAAACATCTCAGATTAGGGACCTGTTTTGTGCTTGGGTCCTGGCCTCAGCTTTTCCACAGGCATCTGGTTGGCCACTGTGAGAACAGCGTGCTAGATTAGATGGGCCATTAATTAGCCGAATCCAGCAAGCCCTTCTAAATTTGCACCAATGAATGCCAATAACCTAGAGCCACAGGCTTGTAAAATCTGTGGTTCTGGTCTGTGGTTCTGGCAGTTCCCATGACATCAAATACATGCTGATGCCAATATCTGCATATTCAATCAAACTGTGCATTTGTTTTAGATGCCCCCAGATGGGAGCTCCCAGCTGGAATGCATCAACGAAAGCATAAGCCATATCAATGGAAGTGCCTGCAGACAAAAAAATGGATTTTATGCTGAAAACAACACAGTGCCTTGCAAAAGGATCAGGACATGAAAAGAAAATTCTATAAATAAGAATCACTATGTACAGTTGGGTTTGTTTAAGGATGAATGGGTGTGTGCAATAATTGGTAAGAATATTGGCTACTTATACATTATGATGAAGCATCCATTTACTTATGGTCTAAATTTGGAGCATCATGCTTTGCAGCCATAGTACCAAGGTAGCGTGGCCTCATTTGTTTCAGATGTCTAACTGACTGGGAGTCACTGACTGATGTGTCTTTGTCCTTTTGGAATCTCAGTGTTCAGTATTGAGATTTGAATAATTTCCCCATGTTTTAATGGTTTATTTGTTATACTGTGCAACTTTCTGGTGGGGCAATTCATGCCAATGCTGAAATAAATATTTTTATCTTGTAAATCTCACATGCAATCCAACAGAGGACACATGGAACAACCAAGAGTGTTCCATGAAAACCTACCAATCAGCTTCTTAGGCTGCCACACTTACATGGGAGTAAGTTCATCCACATTTACATGGGAGTAAGTTCCACGGAACTCAGTGCAGCTTGCTTCCTGAATGTGGGGTTGCACCGTTGGTGGAGATGGGAGTGAGTCCAATCCCTCATTCAAATGGATTTCAGATTAAAAAAAAAAATTAAAGGGAGCATACACAGCACCTATTTCCACACACAATTTCCCCTTCCAGCTAGGGATGCACACTGGAGCAATGTTGTAATATTTAATGACAAAGATTTTATAATAATTATTAATTGTACAGTATTAACTATATTGAAAATGGAAACTTTAAAGCACTGCTGTATTTAGACAGTATGCCTTCTTGGTCTATATTTGTCAGTTGTATCTCTGCTGTTATCAGTGTTGTTTATGAACTCTGTTAGGACACCAGTTTGTTTTCCATTTACTGGAAACTCTTGTTTATTCCAAAAAAAATAAAGCTATTTTTAACCTACAGGTCATTGTGTCATGAAATGAATAACCATCAATATTTAATAATTACTTGGTAAGGTTACATTCTTCTTAAAGTTGATCTTTGGCCTCATTTACTCATCTCAAACTAGGCTTGGCTATAAATTAACATGATTAATGCATATGGGTATTCCTTTCTTGGAGAAGATGAGTAATGGTCCAGAGGTTGCAGGCACATATTGCTGAGTGTGCACAAGCATTCTGAATTATGCAAAAGTAATAGTGAGCACCCCTAGGAGACAGAGTCCACATTTGTGCACAATTATATAGAGATATAGATATAGACAGATTTACGGTATATAAAGGTAAAGTTTACTTTGGAAAAGTAAACTTTACCTTTACAGTGGAACCTTGGGTTACGTACCATCCTCCTTACAAATGCTTCGGGTAACGAGCTCCGCTAACCCGGAAGTAGGTGCTCCTGGTAGCAAACTTTGCCTCGGGATACGAATGGAAGTCGCACGCCAGCGGCATGGTGGCAGTGGAAGGCCCCATTAGCAAAAGCGTGCCTCAGGTTAAGAACTGTTTCAGGTTCAGAACAGACCTCTGGAACGAATTAAGTTCATAACCCGAGGTACCACTGTATATAAATATTTACTTATACAAAAAAGTAAACTTTGGAAAAGTTTCAGCTGCTTCCTTATTGTAAATTCCCTTCAAAAGACTGTGCAGTAGTCTCAGATCCACTCCACCCAGTGCCGGATTTATGTGTAAGCTAAACAAGCTTTAACTTTGGGCCCCATTCTCTTGGGGGGGGGGGCAAAAAAATTAAAGAAAAAAAACCCTGGATACTGCTTATTGTATTTCAGTTCAACAATTACTTTGATAAAATACATATTTTGTTATGTGCAAATGGCTTTAGATACCTATTAGGTCCATAAATTACCATATAGCATATGTTCAACAGAAAAAAAATGACAATTTGTTGTTGACAAAGGACAGCTGAACCTATAAAGGGCCCCATTACCTTCAGTAGCTTTGGGCCTCATCAAACCTAAATCCGGCCCTGACTCCATTCCTCTGTAATGAGATCTCCTCTTTGCGTGTTCAGACCCAGAAATCTCCCCTGTAAATAAATTCACACGACTCAAATTTTGGTTTGGTTTTTGGCAGAATTTAGGCCATAACTTTATTGATTACAGAAAGTGATTGGTTGCATAGGCTCTGGTTTGACTAGCTCCCTGCCATGCAGGTAGCACTGACCCAGAGTTCCAGTATAGATCTGCCAAGGGTGAACACCCGGATGAGCAGAAAGCCGGGAATGGGCTAACTCCGCCACTCAAATGTGCCCCTGGACTCAGGCATGGGCACAACCCCCCTCAGGGGTTGACCAAACCAAGTTGAGTCCCTGGATTCCTTTAACGGAATACCCTTCACATAGGGATGGTGAGAGCGTTCTCCCATCCCTATCACCTGAACCAGAGCGTATCCGCAACCTCACAAGTTGTGATGATTTGCTACGCAGCAGACGAAACCCAGATGGCAACAGCCAACCAGCCAAGTGGGGAAAATTCCTGCCATGCCCCTGTCCCAATGACAGATGACACACGACAGCATAGCAAGGTCAAGCGCAAAGCCCTAAAAATAGGGATAGGGGGGTGGGTGTTCCAAATGCACACGCCGAAAGAGGTCACCTGCATGGGTATAAATAGGTCCCTCGAACCGTTTGGACTGCACCCCATTGGCCAGATTGCACCCAGCTACGAGGGACCTACCAATAAGGTGTTGTGGCTGACCAATCGTACCCACCCACAACACAGGGTGTTGGTTCCCAGGTCTCACCGCAATACGTGCCCTCTTTAAGAGAGGACCTAATTTCCAAAAACATTGTGAAGACACTATGCTATCTGTCAGTGATAGCACAGGAAAAGGAATTTCTACAAAACAGGGCAGGTCTAATTCAAAGATAGCCCTTCAACTCTATGAGGAAGAGCAACCTAACCTCCCATCTCTGTTACTGTTCTGTATCCCAAAACAGGTAGACCTGCTCAGTTGCTTGTCCACAGACACCCTTGAGCTAAACTTTCCGGCAAGAGGCACCTAATTCATGGGGAACATTTGTGAGCCCAACACCGCGGTTGTGTTTTTGTGATTTTCCCCACTAGATTTCTGCAACTCAAATTAGTGGGATTCTGGAGTGGAAAATGTTAGCAGCGGTGCAGTATGTCTATATCAATGCTGAATGTCAATATTGGTATGTTCCCCTCCGTATGTGGGGCTTGGAACAATACCCCCTCCCCATGGAATACTGATTGACTTTGGAGAGCAGAGGGAAGGCAGAAATCAGGGGCTGGGGTAAGGAATGGAGTGGCTGGAATCACGAACACAGTTTGGAGATGTTGCACTCTATGCTGCAACATTTTGTTGCAGACTCTGCTGCTATTAAGTTTGTGATCAATACAGCCATTTTAGTCAGGTAAGGCTGAAATTTATCTAAAGAAACTTGCCAAGAGACAGATCCCTCATTTTCACAGTTGGCTTTCCTATAAAAATTCATATTACAGTAAGCTTATTAGTCTCTTAAGTTGCTGAGAAGCTAATTTGTAATTCTACACCTGGAATTCAAACTGTATCCTTATGGTTCCATCAGTATGGTTCTAATTAAATAAATCATCTGAATGTCAGATTAGAGAACAGGTTTCCTAAACTGGTTTGTTTTTACTATAAGACGTTACATTGTGAAAATCTATATAAGCCACCTTTCCATAGATAAACTGTATTGCTTATCTACAGCTTTCTATAGAAAGGAGTTTAAATGAGTTTTTACAAGGCTTGGTTGTTTGAGTAATAAAAAAGTTTATTATTATTAGCCAAGTACCTTGAGAGTACTGACTCACAAGTAAAATTAAAAGTTTGTCCTACCACAAGAACTGCTGATTTTGGATAAGCTCTTAATTGGGACAAAAGTCCCATTTTCAAGATTAATCTTAAATAGAAAAGCCAGACTTCATGCAGGTAGGCCTGTTCTGTTATTAAATATGATGAAAGGAAAGTGAAGCACACACGGAAAACAAGTATTTGTCTGACAAGTAAGCTGAACGTTTAATGTTTCACAAGCGATAGTTTGTTAATCAGCAAAGTAAGGCATGTGGTTACCTTCCAGTAAGAAAATGGGAATGAATGAGGTAAGCAGGAGATGTCGTGAGTTTGGAACATTTAACATCTATGTATATTTGCACTTATTTACAAATATACAACTGAGCAGAGGTGAAGGAGCAACTTTCATATTCCAACAAACTAAAATGTACTGTTCCAGTGTTTCAGCACCCTGGAGTCCAAACGCCACACAAAAAGAGACATGTTGGTGTACATTCTCATGCCCAAAATAGACATGATCAGACTTCACAACAAAAAACAAAAACAAAAAGCAGTTGGAGCAGGGAGCTGTAGCAGGGTATGTTTAATTGTCCTCCTATCCACACCATTTTTCTAATCTAAAACATCCCCACCAACTAACAGCAGCTATCAGCTCAGTAGAAGGGAAATTCAGGAACCTGTATTAAACCTGTATTTTATTTTATTTTTCCTTTGCATGGGCTAACAGCAATCTTGTGGCGGCAAGAATTTAGATAGGGGAAATAGCAAGAGAACGCACTCTCCACTTCCAGTTCTGCTGCCAATCAAAATCTGAGATTTCAGTATTTTAAAGTAATTATGCTCAGAAACATCAAGAGATCTGATCACAGAAGAAGAGGAGATTGGATTTGATATCCCACTTTATCACTACCCAAAGGAGTCTCAAAGCGGCTAACATTCTCCTTTCCCTTCCTCCCCCACAACAAACACTCTGTGAGGTGAGTGGGGCTGAGAGACTTCAGAGAAGTGTGACTGGCCCAAGGTCACCCAGCAGCTGCATGTGGAGGAGCGGAGACGCGAACCCGGTTCACCAGATTACGAGTCTACCGCTCTTAACCACTACACCACACTGGCTCTCTCACCACACAGGTCAATTGTCACCTTTGCCTTATGTCTGGGTTAGTCTATTCCTGCTGGATGATTTTACTACCTCCGAAATTGCACATTTTAATCAAGAATTATTGGAAAGCAAGCCATTATCTCTCAGCTTCGCCCCCACGATCTGGGGCTGGAATCTGCTGTTCAAAGACTATTTGCATAAACAGAAGTCAAAAGTCCAACTGGGTGTGCAAACCTGTTGGCACAAATCTTTGTTTTTAGTGTCAAGCAGTTATACAGCACAATTTATTCTTCAGAACATGGGCAGCTAAGCACGGGCCTCATTCACCCTTGGGCAACCCCCAGGGACTGCATGATAGAAGGGAGGCTAAAAGTGAGGGGATCCACCCCACACTTTTGAATGCACACTCACAGGCACAGATACACAGTTCAGATGTGCCCCTTGCTGTAGCTCAATAGTGGAGCATCTGCTCTGCATGTGGAAAGTCCCAGATCCAAACCACAGGATCTACAGAAAGGGCTCAGAATGTGCATGTAAACCTTGAGACCCACTGCTATACTGAGATAACATAAGGCAGCTTCCTATATGATCAACCTGAAGACCCAGGAGGACATGTCTGATTCACCACCAGGTTGCTGGGCTCCACTCATCACAGTGCTGTCCCTATTTGATATCCTTTTTTGCTTATTTCAAAACTAGTGTGCTCTTGGCGGAACAAGGAAATTTTGCTTCCTGCAGGTCTCCTTTAGAATAATGATTTCCCTCGGACTTGCAACAGTGTTCCCTTGTGGCGTAACTTCAGCTAGGCCCTGAAAGGGTTCTCCGGAAGAGGCCTTGGAATGGAAAATATTGTTCATAATTAATGTTACAGCTTCTTTTGTCACGGCCGATGGTTTTGGCAAGTAAATAAATAGGCTGAAATCAATAATGAATGTGTCTGTAGGAGATGACATACAGTAGACATAGGAAGACACACAGCATGGTCTCTGTGAGCAGGCTCATTTTATTGAACAGAATTCTGGTGCTGAACAAAACAGATGCATTGTTAGGCCTCCAAGGATCTTTCATA